GTATCTCTTCTGTGAAACCTCGGTCTTCCTCCTATCCCAGGGCAACTTACTAGTCCTGAACTCTGCTTCCTAGGTATCGCAGATCTAGTCCCTCGGTTCCACTCCCATAGCATTACTTCAAGCCCTATTCACTTCTCACTTCGGCTTACCACATGTAATCTCCAGACTTTCCATTCAGATCCCCCTTTCGATGTACTCACTATAACACTACCAAAGTGATCTGTCTGCAGTACAAACCCAGCATCTCTGCCTTCGGTGGTTCCATGAAGCCTTCCAAAAAATTCTCAACTCCCTAACTTAACTTCATCCCTCATCACTGCCCTCCTATTTCCACCCTAAATACGTCATGCTTGAAGTTAATCCAGCCACACTGTACTACTTACAGTTTCCAGACACATCATCTTGTTTTTTTCCCTTTATTTTCCAATATGTTGCCCCCTCTCTGAAACACTCTTTTCTACTCCTCCTTGCCTAGCCAGAGCTTAAACTCTCAGCTGAGATGTCAGTTCCACCAAAGGACTTTCCATGGCTCTCTGCTTTAGGTGTCCTCTTCTGTCCTCCCACTGCACTTACCACAAACACTGCATGTTGCAAAAAAAATAGCCTTATAATTCAATATGTGCTGTTTGCTTTATTTTTCTGTCTTCTACTAAATTGTGAGCTCCCTGAGAGCAGGTCTGCTCACATATTTACCTTCAGTCCACACTGCCTGACACGCGGAAGGGGTAGTTGTTATATGACTGATTTACAAAAGGAGGGAAGAAGGGAGATGGGGAGAGGGAGGGAGAGGGAGCCAGAGAGAGGAAAGGGAGAAGGAAGGGGGGAAGGAAGGGGAGAGGGACTGAGAACAGGCACACAAGCAAAGGGCATTAAAAAAGGCATCTGAAATCAATCCGTTATTTTCATATGGCCTCAGCCAGCGATTACTGAAGAGAGAATGGTACATCAGACAAAGCCCATCTCCCCAGATCTAAGTACCACCATCTAAATCACCTCATCTCTTAAGATTCTGCAAAGTCCAGTCTATTAAACCCATTTCCACTCGAAAATTTACTGTAGCATAATGAGACGTTAATAACATGCACGATATAAAAGCAAAACAAAAAGTTTTAGCTAGAAAAAAAAAGGAAATGAATTTGACATAATTAAGTCTTAGTATTATTTATAAACTTTAATAACCCATCATTTCCTGATACTGTGCAATCACTGACTTCAAAAGGTTTATCAAAAGTATGAAAAATAAATCCAACATAACACCAACATTATGATCTAGCTTAAACACAAAACTGCTTTTATGTTAGTCATATTTCTCAAAAACACTAGGTAAAAATATCACATGACAGAGTATACTAGTCAGGAAAGGGGCTTTATTTACTTAAATACATTCCTGAAGGTAGTGCCACAGGAAAATTGCTTCTAAAACATACAGCACTTAAAAAATGATATACAAATTTTTCTTTGTTTTGGGACTTTAAAGCAATAACCAAAAATGTATTACTACACACTTTTTCAATTACTTCAATACACTGCCACTTAATAAAATTTAAATTTCTGACTAATAGGAACTTAAAAGCTTGCTTCAAAGTACAAATCTGGTAAGATACGATGATTGGCATGAATTCTTCTAAAGCTCCGTTGTCACAATACAGAAATTGGAAACACACAAAAAAAAGAAATTTAGGCCCAATATAATCAACACTACATACTTTCTGAATGGTGATTTTGTTTTAACAAAATACCAATCATGGGCAGCCTCTCAACTTTTACCACATAAAAAATTAAGCTGTAAGAAATAAGCTAAGATTTTAGCTTCCCAAAGAGAGGACTTAACTATAATTATAATAACATGAAGTTCTTCTTGTACAAAATTAGAAGATTGTTTTAATAATTCTTTCCCTTTAATATTACTAGTAACTATTTTTAAAGGCAGCAATAATGGAAATGCTGAGGACTTAAAATTAGTAGTTCTAAAATGATACTAAAAAATTTGCATTTGCCTAATACTATGAAACTTTCAAGGCTAAAGTTTCCAACATACTTTCATTTTTTTAAACAGATACGTTAAAAAAAAAAAAGACATGAAAGGAAGAGAGAAAAGAAAAGAAAGTTTAAAATCTAGAAGACCTTCAACTTACAACATTTCTTTTCACCAAATACTAAGAGTACCCAAGATGTGCCAGGCACTACCCTGGGAACTGTGACAGATTACAACATTTATTCAAAACTAAAACTTGTATTATTCACCTTCTGAATGTTTTATATTTCAATCCAACATTTTTCTTAAGAAATTCTCATCCAACACCAGAGAAGATACATTTTCCTAATAAATTTGTCACCATTTCACACGGGTCACAGAAGTTGCAGCTAGCATCCGTGACTAACAAAAGGAATTCATTCCTGAAATATCACTAATTATTTTTTCATTTACATGAAAGTGAAAGTCATTCAGCAGATATAAACTGCTTCAGAGTTTATAGCACCCCACACTCAAAAAGAAAAAAAAACTGGACTAAATCTAATTACTGTGTATAGCTGATAAATATTTAAGTAGTCATGGCTTTCACTTTCTACCATAAACACACACATTACGAACTTTATTTAGATGCAGTACCATAAAAGCAGTCCTGATTCTGAAGAGAAGCAAAGTAAATTTTTTTAAAATAGTTCAAATAAACTGTCAAAAGTAGATGAAATTTGCATTTTTACATTCTAGCTGTTGCAATTCTACACTTGTGATTACATACACCCTTTCAAACACTTCTGAATTTGTAATGGATGAAAAAATATCTGCTAATCTCTAAGTTCCACCAGTTGAATCAGACATTTCCGATAGCTAAGGCTTTTCATCCTAAAGTGCATGAAAAAATGTGACAGCATTCAATTACACATTCGCTAAAGTGAAAAAACCACCTGTACTTTTATGACCATAATTTCTTCCACCATTTAAGCAAATTGTACTTTTTAGACAATATCCTCCATTCGGTTCACGTGCTTACATTTAAGAGGAACCTGGCCATCCGCTTTTCACATGGATTTTATCACAATGCGATACAGCATCTGATAATTCACAGACCAAATGGATCGGTAAAGGAGAATAAACCACAGAATCCTAAGTCCCTGCAAATACAAGATACAACTGCTATCTCTGAGTTGTGCAAAGACCACCAAAATTTTCTCTTTAAAAACCTTCCGATTAAGATTATGCTGGATTTCGCTCGTCAAATAGGTCTGCGAAAAATTCACGGTACTGCACGCATCGCACGACAAATTAGATTTTCTTTCATCCAGCCTAACAGATAGAACCACAATACAGTTCAGTTTCTCGAGTCAGATTACTTGACCTGCTTTTCAAACACTTGAATTCGTGCAGTTATTCCTAACACCCCCCTGCAAAAAGAGACGTTCTCTACGGGAAAACTGTCCTTGGTGAGATACCCTGTAACCGGCTCCAACTCGGCAGCGAAGCCCACCGACTCCCGCGCCAGCTGACCCCCGGCCCCGGGAAGCGCTTGGGCTCCGGCCTCCGCACACACCTCTCTCGGCGGAACTCGGGGGCCCCACGCGTGACTGCGATCAGACCCTACTTCCTGAATTCCCTACGCCCTGGGGTTCCTTTTCTGGAGGTGAGCCTACCTTCATGGTGATTCCGGGACCGCGATCCCCTGGAAAACACCGGGTTCACCTGCACCTGGAGGAGAAACAAAAGACACCCAGTCAGCGCCACCGGCACCCCCTGCGCCGGCGCCGACGGGGGACCCCAAAAAGGGCCCAAGGAAGCGTCGGCCCCGATCCC